GCAGAATTCGCCCTGAGAGAACTGGAGTTGACAGAAACCCTGGCCATCCAGGAAATCGCCGCAGAGAAGTTGTCCACAATCGGTGTGTGACTGATGGGTTGGATCTCCATTGCCGGTTTCAATTAGGAAAGACCAGATCTCCAGGAAACCGAGCTCAGGAAGCACAGAGGGTAGAAATCTGGGAGGTGCTGAACTGTGCTTTTTACAGGCTTTATCAGCAGTTTAAACCGTATAGATGGGGCTCCCGCCGAAGGGCGTGTCCTCGCAGGCAGTGCCAGGGGGCCCAGCACGGCTGAGGACACACTTGGGGACGGCCATGGCAAGGCGTCCAGCTGAACCCCCAGCTTCTGCCCTGAGCCAGAGCAGGGACACTGGCAGAATCGCCTTTTTTTGGCAACAGCTCTGAGGGCGCACGGGTGGGGAGTGCAAGGTGGCCCAAAGTAGCATTCCTTTTGTGACCTCCCAAACTGCTTCCTGCCCAGCCACCCCAGTGACTGTGAGGCCAGAAGGCAGGGCTGTCACCTGGTGCCTTGTGAGGCCATGCAGTGTCAGCAGCCACCCCCCTCAGTTCAGGGAACTGTGACACGCAGTTGGGTGACACCCTTGTGACTAAGTGTGGCTCAAGGCCCACTGAGTGCTGAGTTCTGGTCCCAGGAAGGCAGATCCCCTGCCATGATACCAGCTGGTGAGTGGGACACCTCCCCTTCCCTGCATCTACAGGTACCCTGGTGACCGTCTCAGCCTTTTGTCACCCTTCCTTCAGTCCTGTGACAGACACTGGAGCAGACGACAGACAGGAGGGACAGTGTGTCTGCCAGGCCTGAGGCTCTGGTCTCACAAGTGGCAGACATGGCACTGAACCTCGTGGCCTCAGGAAGCAGAGAGGGAGTGGACAAGCATCCCGCTGTCCCCTGCCAGAGCACAACTGGGGCACCTGATACTTCCCAGGCCCCATCTCCCAAGGGTGCCACCACCTCCCATGGCACCGCAGATCAGGACCAGACTGCAGCATGGAGTCCCTGGTCATAGTCCTTCATAGTATCAACAGGGAAACCGAGGCACAACCCGCCAGACCCTGAAGCATTGGCTCTTAACCCAGAGAGAGGTGCAGCTCTGTGTGAAATGCCATACATAGGCAGGGGTTCCCATCTGCATGCCCAGTGCTGTCGCATCCCTGCCATGCCCGGGGGCTCCTCCCATCCTCTGTGGCCAGGGACACAGCATAAGGTCCCAGGTTAGACTGCCTCCCTGCCTCCCCAACATTTCTGGCCTGTGCTGCTGGGGCCCCCAGACCCTCAACCTCTCAGCGTAATATATTTTGATTTCTCCTTCACTGCCAGAGCCCCTGTGTTGTTATAATGGCAGCACCAGCCCCTCCAAGCAAACTGGGAATCCCTACGTCACTTGCCTGGTCCTGGACCTTCCCACCACAGTTCCTGCATCACACGTGTGTGTTCTCTGTCATCTGCAGTGGTCTGTCCCTCTCACCTCCACTCTCATGATCAACTGCAGACACAGCTGGGTGTGCCCAGGGGTCACCAGTGTGTCCCTCTGTCTCCGGACTCCTGTCTTCCTCCCTAATCACGGCTACTATTCCCAGCCCTGTCCCCTCCCTGGGGACATTGCAGTCACCTCCTTTGTCTGTCGATGGAGAGCGAGTGGGAGCCTTAACAGCTCTGCAGGAGCCAGCAGATTTTCTTCGGCATCCTTGCCACGTGGGAGCTGTATGGATTCACGTCACTCTGCCTTGTGAAGCTCAGGCCGGCCCAGATCTGGAGCATGGGGCTGGCTGTGTCCACCTGCTCTCCTTCCAGCCAGGGTCACTGTTAGCCTGGGTCTTTTCAGGGTAAAGGTTACTCGGCAACAACCTGGGTTTGGGGAGACAGCTCACTGCACTCTGCTACCCTTCCCACACTTGGTTGCTTCCCTGCCTGGGTTGGCTGTGGCTTCCTTGTGACCCCTGTCCCTCACCCCTCCCTGCTGGACTTGGGCCGTGTGGCCTGGTTCTGCTCCCATGAGGTGAGTGCTTCTGCCTGCCTGGGTGGCAGCCAGCCCTTCCTCCCCCTGAAGACTCCTTTAGATCCTAGGGCCGGATAGGCAGCAGGCAGAAACGTCACCAAGGCCCAGGCGGGAGGAGTGTGGAAGGCATCCCTGATGGAAAGCAGGTGAGGGGACAGCAGTGTGGAACAGGTGCCCGTCTCTCTGCAGGCCCGGCTGCCTTCTGGGCCCCACCTGTGCTTCTGAGGGTGCGCAGTCCTGTGTTCGAGCCCTGGTCTGGCCACCTCTGTGACTGCGTGGCCTTGGGTAACAGGAGAACCTTCTCTGGGCCCTGGGCCACAGGAGTGAGGACACTGCGGTGGGTTCCAGGGCTGCTGTGACATTGTTCCCCATCGCAGCGCCTTTTTCTCTGCCCAGTCAGCACTGCAGTAGCTGTGAGTGGTTTCGGACTCAGTCTATACCTCTGCACCCGAGTGGAGCCCCCTTGCTGGTGGTCTCTGGCCCAGCCATGTGAATCCTGAGCACTCGGGGTGGAGCAGGCCTGGCCATTGGGTGCAGGGTGCAGGGTGAGGCTACAGAGAGGAGCGCAGGACTGGGAGACGCTGGGCTGGGCGTGGGGAGAAGGGATTTCTGAGCACCGTCTTTTGCAGAGCCGTATGCATGGCAACAATTTCACCCCATCCCAACCTCAGTGTAACTCTGCTCCCCAACAGCACCAGCTCAGGTGCTCATGAGCAGTGACTGAGCCCTTGCTGTGTGCTGGCCACTGTCTGAGGGGGTTCTGTGCACATGACTTCTCTTGTCCTCACAGCCCAGGACAAGGTACTCCCTCTTATCCTCTTCCCTCTGAGCCTGGTGTGGTGGCAATTCTTGCACTCAGGAGGCTGAGGCAGGAGGATTGCCATCATTTCAAGCAGGTGAGGAAATTGAGGCCCATCAGGTTGAGCAATCTTGTGAGTAGGTAGTGACCAGAGTAACATTAGGGACCATGAGGGGAAGCCACCTGCCCAAGGCCACACAGCTGGCCACCCCCCATCAAGATCACAGCCATTAGGCCACTCCATCCTCCCCCACAGGGCCAGGTGTCCTCAGGGATCCCCCTACAGACTCTGCTGACAGTGCTCCCAGGCCACGGCCCAGCTGGGACTCCAGACCTGCTAAGCCATGTGGAGTTATATGGCCCTGGGACTCCTTTTCCTCATTGGACAGGGGCTTCAGGGTCACCCTGGGGTGCTGAGGGTTAGAGAGAAGTTTGTGGAGGGCAACTAAGTCCTGATTTTCCTGCCATTGTACCCATTTCTAGGCACTGACCCAGACCCAGCAGAGCAGTCTCGGTGTTGAGAGCCCTCATCTGACAGTACTGAGGGCTGATGTGTGTGGCCCTAACTTGGTGCTTTGTGCAGCTGCCAGCTACAGAGACCTGTGGGAAAATTAAGGCCCAGTGGGCGGGGAGCTAGGTTTGAATCTAGGTCTTCCCCTGACACTGCTGTCCAGTGGGGGCCTGTGGTCTCCCACTTTCAGTCCTGTGTCTTTGTATCCCCAGGAAAAGCCGGGAGTCCTAATGTCTCTCTCCAGTGTCCCTGGTGGTCTTCAGAGCCTCTGCTTCCCAGCAGGGTCTGTGCTTCATAGATAGCAGCAAGGCTGGGAGGAGGAGGAGGCTGTCAGGAGGCTGAGGCAGGGAGGCCTCCACTTCCCTCAGACACCCTCACTCTTGGTCTCCCCCCACAGCCTGACTTCTTGGCGGCCATGACCTGGACAGTGTGGCACCTGTTGCAGGGGTGCGGAGGGTGGGTCTGAGGCAGAGGGGCCAGGGTCCTTCCTCAGACTCTCCGGGGGAAACTCACTTATCCTATCCACCTCAGGAATGAGATCAGGAGGTCAGAGAGGGGCTGCTGGGTGCCAGGTGAGTTTGCTGAGCTGTTACTGAACACACGTATGTTCCTCTCAGCCCTCATGAAAGGGGGCAGGTGTAGAGGCTGGGCCTGCAGAGGCTCGGGTGGCTCAGGCCACACTGAGTCCAGCTGAGGCCTGGCCTTGGGGACAAATGGACAGTCCCAGCCACTATGAAACACATGGCACTGGCCATGGTTTCTGCTATTCAAGACTAGCACTACTGCCATTGCGTTGGAGACCACAGGACACGTTCATCACCTGGCCATCACCTGAGATGCTTGAAAACCTTAGTCTGTTTCTTCTGAGCAGCCAGGGACTTTTGCTAAACCCTTGACCCTCACCTGGGCCCGGGGATGCCCAGTGGGTGATGAGGTGGAGCTGGGGCTGGCCCTTGCTTAGCAAACCTCAGGCCCTCCTCCTCAGGCAGAGTGCAGGGCAGCCCGAGCTCATGGCCCCTCAGGACCACCGTCACCGTGCCTAGGGTCCTCATCACCTTGGACACCAGCAGACCCCATGTGACTGACACCTGGGTCAGGAGGATGCCATCTGAGCCTTGGTGATCTGTGACCTCCAGAGCCCCAGGAAATGGGTCATGTCTTTGGGATCCTCTTTGTCAGAGCCCTCTCAGGCCGCTCAGGCTGGACCTCCCTGTCCCAGCTTCTCTAACCCTAACCAAAGCCTGGCCTCCAACGCGTGCTTTAGCTTCCATTCTCTCTAAAACTTGTGCCCGTTTCTGCAGTAACAGGACCCCACTTCACCCGCTAGGTGTTAGCACAGGAAGCGGTCAGTGTTGGGGTGGTTTCTGCCCCCTGGTCCTGGGATAAGGGATGGCATGAGGGGACACTGGGTCCTTCCCGAGGTACAGGTGGGTGGCTGAAGGTGAGCGCACCCCAGGCAGAGGGGAAGGGGCTGCACTCAGGCAGGCAGGTGCAAGGGTCGCAGCAGGGAGAATGCGGTGAGCACTTTCCGGGGAAGCGGACTTGGGGCCAAGGGCCGAAGATGCTCGGAGCGGAGCGGGAGCGGGGCAGGGATGGCAGACACGGCTCCGGCTCCGGCTCTGGAGGGAGGGTGGTCTATTTTAGCAACAGGGGAGGGCGGGAAAGATGCAGGAGGGGAGGCGGCTCGGGGCTGTGGGTGCAGCAGCCGGCTCCAGCTCCTGTGCCAGTGTGGAGGCTGCTGCGGCCCCTTCCGACCCTACCCGGATCGCCCCGCGGGAAGCAGGCAAAATGCTGGCGGTGTCGCTAAAGTGGCGACTGGGCGTGGCCAGGCGGAGGCCCAAAGGTACAGGGGTGGGCGGGGCTGGTGAGATCCCAGATTCTCGGGCAGGGTCCCCTGGCCTCTGCCTGTCTCTCCCTCTGCACCCACCTACCCGTCACCGCCCCTCTGACCCTGTCCCGGTCCTTCTCTGTCTCTTTGTCTGGGCCACCACCTCCCTGCCTCTCTCGCTCTCCCTCTCCCTCTCGGTTCCTGTCCTGTCTTTTCAGTCCTCACAGCCTGTCCTTGTTCTCCTGGGACCCTTTCCTGGTCTCTCCATCCCATGTCCCCGCATTTCCACTCCTGTGGGGCCTGGGTGGCCTGGGGGAGGGCGCTGGGACCCCCAGACCTCACAGTGCCCACCACCTGCCCAGGTGAGGGGCAGGGAGGATTTGCAAGCTCTGTGCTTCGGGCTGTGAACTAAGAATAACCACAGGCTAGAGGGAGTAGCTGCGCAGTTGTTAACAATGTGCAACTCCACACTCCACACACTGGAGGTTGTCCCTGCCCTATCCTTATGGTGCAGGAGGAAACCAAGGCATAAAGAACTAGAGCAACTTGCCAGGGGTCACAGAGCAGCCCCTCAGTGGCCGGGTCCCCACTGGGAACAGGCAGCTGCACTTCTTGGGTCTGTGGCCCCTGGGCAGGGGACATGCTGGCAACCCACTGCCTGGGTAGTCTGCATAGTGAGGCTTTTGCTGTCTTCTTTTTAAAATATGAACATTTCAATGCTGGGACCCCTATCCTTGGCTTGTACTGCATGTTTAATCTTTCCTGGGTGAGACCCCAAGTTCCGCTGTACACTGATTACTTTCAGGGTCCCAGGCTGCATAGCCACCTCCCCTCCTGAGGTTTAAGGTTTGGGGGTCCCTCTGGTGCCAGAGAAAGGAAGCAGTGACTGCTTGAGAGGCGAGGGGCTGTCAAGGTGGGGTCCCTAAGGATGAGTAGTTTTCTGGGTCAAAAAGGAGAACAGCATGTGCTGATGCATGGGACCTGGAAGCTCTCCCTCCAGGGCCAGGGAGACCTGCAATCAGTGTGTGGGTGTGGGGAAGAAAGACCTGGCATCGTAGGAGAAGGGGCTTGTGAGGCTGTGACTCTGCCTCAGGACAGTGGGAGCCACAGGAAGTTCTGAGCCTGAGAGAACAGAGGCAGCTTTGAGTACAGGGAGGCATTGGTTTGACCTGCAGTCTGAGAGGGCTCCAGGAAGGCGCAGTGTGGAGCCCAACAGAGGGGACTCCGGCCTGCTCCCCCAAGCTGAGTCTGCCCTGCACCCCTCACCCACTGAAGGCCTCCTGCAGGGTGCTCCCCTTCCCCCAGCCTTGTTCCCACACTGGGGGCCACAGCAGGCTCAGGTCTGGCTCCCAGTGCCTGTAGTGCCCCTGTCTCTCAGCCTCCCTGCACCACCGGAGTCCTGGCCCGGGGACCCGGGGACCACCCCCAGTTGCCCGATAGCAACAGGCTGGAGAGCCCCAGCTGGTTCTTTACTCCCTGAGCGCTGACTGGGTGCCCTCTGTGCATGGCGCTGTTCATACTTGGAACACATGTGGACTGTGAGCTGGATTGCCCATGTGACACTAGGGGAAACTGAGGTCCCAGAGGAAGTAGCTCCCCAAGATTTCCCATCAGAGAAAGGAGAGACAGAGTCTGGGCTCCCTGGCTGCTTTGAGCCCTGGGCTCTCCTGGGTGGTTTGGCAGAGTTGAGGCTGGGCCCCTGCTCCCCTCCTCCCATTTGCCATTGGGCCAGCCTGTCTCAGCCCTGCCTGCCCATGGTGTCTTGGCCGAGGTGCAGGTCACTCTTAGCAGATGAGATGGCAGCAGCCCCATGACCCTGGCAATGTGGGGCCAGGTTCCAGCCCGAGCGAGTGGTTTAGGAAACCAGAGGGCTGCTGGGGTCCAGGCTGGCATGGAGGTACAGCCCCTCCCCCAGCTGCCCAGCAGCTCACACAGGGAGGTTGGGGCCCCTTCTTCCAGACCCAGGCCAGCAGGCGGACCAGGCTGGGACTTATGCCTCTGCGGGCCGGTGTGTCCCTCTGTCTTTGGCCCTGTTCCTCTCCTGTGCCCCAGCTATACCCACAACCTCCCTCTCGACTTCCTCTCGGGGTCTCTGCCCTTGAAGTGTTTGGACTCTGTTTGAGTCTGAGTTTCAGGGACACCAGAACTTGGGTGCCAGGAAGAGACAGAGACAAAGAACTTCTCTTCCCAACACTTCAGGGACCCCTTTGATCAAAAGGATGCCCCAGGACATGCTAGGACTCTACCCAATTGTGCTCATGGCCCTCTCAGGACTGTGATGGTCAGCCTGGGGGAAACTGAGGGACAGAGCAGGAAGGGACCTGGATTCCAGGCCTCCTGACCCTGAGGCACCTGGCCTCTCTCTTCCTCAAGTCCTCGGCCCCTGTGCTGTCCTATCCTCCGCCAGCCCTGAGACACCTCGCTTGCTCCATGTCCTCCAGGAACCTCTGCTGGGCTCTTCTGGCTGCCTACCAGTGCCTGCCCGGCCCCATCAGATCACAGGTCTGTCTGTTGGACTCTTGCTGCCCCTACACCCAGTTGAGTTTCCAAAGGTTCTGGGCACTTGGTAAACAATCTCTGATAGCCAGGTATGGTGGGAGAGGCCTGTGCTAATCCCAGCACACAAAAGGCTGAGGCAGGAGGATGGTAAGTTCCAAGGCAACCTGGTCCTACATTGTGAGATGTTGTCTCAGAAACAAAAGCAAAGAAAAATCACTATCTTTGTGTGGGTGAGGGAGCTGGGGCAGGGCCATAGCTGCGCTCACCCCTGTCCTGTCCTCAGAGTTCTGCTCATCCCCATGGGAGCAGTCTGCCATCTGCACTTTAGTAGCCCCCGTAGGGTTGGCCAGGCCCTGGGACAATGGCAGCAGGGCTCACCTGGCTGCCTGACTCATCGCTGTCTGTAACTCTGGGCTGGGTCTGCTGTAGGTATCATAGGGCCCGGACTCTGTCCTGGAGGTGGGGCTACTGGGGACAAGTCGGGAAACAGAGACACTGGGCTCTTGGCCTCTTGGGTCCACAGTGGCCGGAGGTGTCCCTGAGCCTCCTCTGCGCAGGCTGGCCACACTCCTGGGTTCCCTGGGGCTGTGACCTTGACTGGCCCTACCTGGGACCGGAACTGGCCAGACCTGAGGGGACTGAGGTCAGGGGAGGGACGTGGACATGGACAGATGGTGGGGGTCACCTTGTGGCCCTCACCCATGCCTGTGCAATCTTGACCCAGCCAGCTGATGGCCTGGGCTTGAGAGCAGTGAAGAGGGAACAGGGCAGTGAAAGGGGCTTCATCTGGCACCCTCTGCCACCGCCACATGTCACCACCATGCCCTGCTTAGTCTATACCACCCAAAGGTTCTGTTAATTCTGAGCCTTAGGTTGCACTTGGCTGACATCCCTGCCTGGCCTATCTTGGTCCCCAACTCTCCTGCCCATATGGACCCCCTACACCCTTGCTGTGGCCTCCCTTCCTCCTGCTCCTCCCTGCCCTTCAGTGCTTCCGGCTCCAGAGCTGCTCCCTGGGGAACCAGGACAGAATATCTCTGCCCCTCTGCACCCAAAGCCCTGAGCTGAGAAGCCCCAGGCAGAGCAGGCTGCTTCTCTGTGCCAAGATGCTGATGTGGATCCCACCTCATTCCAAAGCAGACCATAATGTGGGTGAAATTAGATGAAAGTGAGCCTTGTGGTGCTGAGAATTGTCAGACCCAGAAACACTGCACAAAGCCCATAATCCTCTGTGACCTTTCCCTGGCTCCTCGCTTACAAAGGTAAATTCCAGGTGAGGGAGGGGCAAGATGCAGCTTCCCAGTGCCTGTCAGATGCACTGTCTGGTGGGTGATTGTTTGCCAGGACAGGGGTGGCTCCGTGTACCCCAGCTGAGCCCAGTACCTCCCCAGTTGGAGAGGAAGCCCCCGCATGCAGGGCTAGCCAGGGGATGTTGAGCGGTGTCCTAAGCTGGCTCCCAGGGTTCTGAAGTGGACCCAGAAGCCTCTGTCCCCAGTGCTGGGTAGCATGCTTCCCTGCTGGTTCCTCTGTGGACTGGATCTCCTGGGTCATCTTCTTCTGTGCTGAAGCCAATGGGTGCACTGTGCTGCTGCATGGGTCATTGACACCTTGTGCAGAGCCTGGTGTCACCATCACCACCTTTCTCCCCAACACCCAAGTGACCCCTGGCCCTTGGCTAGCGAATGGGGACAGGAGAACAGGGGCATGTGTCTGGAGGGGTCCCGGGTGTCCTGAGATTAGTGATCAGGGCTGTGGCCATCTGAGCAGAGGGGCAGCTGTCAGCTGAAACTAGAGGTGACCAGCTGCTCCTGCCTGTCAGGCCTGGAGGTGGGCATGGCCTCTGCCCTGCACCCTTGATCTTTACCAAAAAGACCTCAGAGGCTGCCAGCACCCTGCCTGGCCCGGCTCACAGGGGAAACTGAGTCCTGGGGCAGGCCTTGGGGGACTATGGGGACTTGTGGCTTCAGCAGTGCTCTGCTTCATGCTGGGTCCTGGGCTGCTCTAAGTCACCAGGTTTGAGCAGTGCTCCAGGTCTGTATAGTGCTTTTCTGATATGACAACTGCAAAGGGCCTCAGGGCCGGACAAGTGTCTGTAGGAGCCATCCACACTGTGCACCCTCACTGCCTGTCCACACTGCAACTACACTGGGCATCCACACCCCTGTCCCAAGCACTGAAAAGGGCGAGTCCCCTTTAAGCAGAGAGCAGCCCGCCCAGGAGCTGTGTCCCTCCCCCAACCCCTCCCTGATGACAGGGACAGCCAGGCTGCTGACCGTGGTGGGCAGCAAAAAAAAGCAGCATGCTGTGTGGGCTGCGTGGCGAGACCCCTGGAGCAGAGGGTAGGTCATACACAGGTACAGGCAGAGGGGCAGAGGGGCAGTGACAAGCAATGACAGCTGGCACTTTGGTCCTGGAACTGCTGCCCAGAGATGGGGTGGGGTGGCTGGGGCTGTCCTGTCAGGGGTGGGGAGGTCAAAGGCTCTGTAGGTGCAGGGCAGGGAGACTGAGTGTCTCCA